ATGGGGTCCCCTACCAGGTGAGCAAGCGACCGTTTCGGCGTACGACAGATGTGCAGCAGCTGAAGGCCAAAATGAATTCTCTGTAGCTTGTGCATAGCTGCATATGCTGAACTTCACACTCCGTGTTGGCGCAGCGCCGCATAGAGCCTTACGTGTGGAATTAAATCGGTTGCTCGATTTCTGAAGTGCACGGATAAGGGAGAAGGGCAAACCGGTTGTCTGTCATTAGCGAGTACCGCGGAGGCTTGCCAGACAGCTGTGGTGTTCATTGTCGGGAATTTGTGCAGGACCGCCTACGCAGCCGTTGCCCTCAGCAGGTACTTCGATCGATTCATTTGCTCTCTACGCCGCCCAAAGCAGCACGGACAGGAGGAGCGCTTATCTCTTGTTCCTCAGCTGTGTTGGTTTGGACGGTTGCGGAGTGGAACACTCAAGTGGTTTGAAAAGCTACAAAATATCTGTTAAGGGCGGATGCCTCTTTGCAAGCTGCCGAGATGCTGCTTGTTTTGCGCGTGTTGGGTTCTGCACTGAATCTGTCTGCAGAAGATGATGCACCTCCATCCTGGACACCACCCCCGCCAGGTCAGCGAGTGACTGTTTCCCCCATTGACCGGCCGCCCCCTACTGAGGCAGAGTATAAGCTCGGCCTAGCTGTTGCAGGGTTGCTTCATCATCGCATCACGATTGGCTGGGGGCCAAGGCGCTTAGCCATTTGATCGTGCCGCAGAATCCGTTGCTCGATTTCTAAAGCGTGCCGATACTTGAAAAGGTCCAGCGGGTTGGCTACCTCTGACGTGTAGCGTGGACACTCGCCGGACAACTGCTGTGCATTGTCGGGAATTTTTGCAGGCCCCCGTTCGGATATGTCGCCCTCAGGAGGTACTTCGACCACTCCAGTGCCCTTGGACTCTACGCATCTACGAGCTGCAAGTGCAAGAGTAGTGGTCGTCACTCTTCGTGTTCAGCCGCGTTGTGTTGGGGATATCCTAGTGCCGAAACGACGTCTCTCAAGTAGCGATTGAGTGTATGGGAAGAGCCACAACCACTCTGCAAGCTGCAGAGCTGCCGCTTCCTGTGTGCGCGTGTGGGGGTTTGCATTGAATGTGTATGTAGGCTGGAGACCGTCGGAGAGACCGGGGCCCTCACCAGGTGAGCGAATGACTGTTTCGGCGTACTGCAGCTGTGTAGCAGCTGAAGGCCACTATGAACGCTCTGTAGCTTGTGCATATCTGCATATGCTGAACGTCACACACCGTGTAGGCGCAGCGGCGCAAAGGGATTTACGCGCGCAACTGAAGCGGTTGCTCGATTTCTAAAATGCACAGATAAGGGAAATTGGCTAGCGGGTTGGCTGTCTTTGACGGGTAGCGTGGAGGCTTGACAGAGAACTTCGGTGTTGATTGTTGGGAATTTGTGCAGGACCGCCTACGCAGCCGTTGCCCTCAGCAGGTACTTTGAACAGTGCATTTGCTCTCTACGCAGCTCAAAGCAGCACGCACAACAGCAGCATGTTGTTCAGCCGTGTTGGTTTGGACGGTTGCGGAGTGGAACACTCAAAAATGCTTTGAAAAGCTACCCAATATCTGGGAGGAGCGGAAGCCTCTTCGCAAGCTGCAGAGATGCTGCTTGTTTTGCGCGTGTTGGGTTCTGCACTGAATTTGTCTGCAGAGGATGATGCACCTCCACCCCCGGCACCACCCCCGCCAGGTCAGCGGATGACTGTTTCCCCCATTGACCGGCCGCCCCCTACTGAGGCAGAGTATACGCTCAGCGTAGCTGTTGCAGAGCTGCTCGATCCTCGCATCACGATTGGCTTGGGGCCGAGGCGCGTAGCCATTTGATCGTGCAGCTGAATCCGTCGGTCGATTTCTAGACTGCTCGAATAAGCGGGGAAGGATAGCGGGTTGGTTTTTCTCTACATGTACCGTGGACACTCGCCGGAGAACTACTGTGCTGATTGTTGGGAATTTTTGCAGGCCCTCCTCCGCAGCTGCCGGCTTCAGGAGGTACTTCGACCAGTACAGTGCCTTTGCTCTCTACGCACCTGGAAGCAGCAAGCGCAAGCGTAGTGGTCGTGACTCTTCGTGTTCAGCCAAGTTGTTTTGGGGATATCCTAGTGCCAAAGCCACGTCTCTCAACTAGCGATTGAATGTATGGGAAGAGCCACAGCCACTTTGCAAGCTGCAGAGCTGCCGCCTTCTTTGTGCGCATGGTGGGCTTTGCATTGAACGTGTATGTAGGCTGGAGACCGTCGGAGAGACCGGGGCCCTCACCAGGTGAGCGACTGACTGTTTCGGCGTACGGCAAATGTGCAGCATCTGAATGCCACTATGAAGTCTCTATAGCTGCATATGCTGAACTTCACACACCGTGGTGGCGCAGCGGCGCAAAGAGATTTACATTTGCAACTGAATCGGTTGCTGGATTTCTAGAGTGCACGGATAAGGGAGAAGGGCTAGCGGGTTATCTTTCTTTGACGAGTAGCGTGGAGACTCTAGCGCAGACACTCGCCGGGCAGCTGCAGTGCTGATTGCTGGGGATTCCGCCACTGTTGTTCAGCCGTGTTGTTTCGTGAGGTTGACAAGTGCCACAGTCAAGTCGTTCGGCAAGCGACTTGGTGTCTGGGAAGAGCGGCAGTCTCTTTGCAACATGCGTTTATGCTACCTTCGTTGGGCACTTGCTGATGACGGCATTGGCATATGGCTGGCTAGCAGCTACTGCGACAGAGTATAGCTGTTCCAGAGCTACGTCATCATAGCTCCATGCTTTTTTGGTCAAAGGCGCGTAGCCATTTACTCGTTCCCGCTGAACCCGCTCCTCGGTGTCTAAAGGGCATGGCTGTGGGGGATGGCTTGTTCTTGACGAGTACTGTGGAGACTCGGCAGACAGCTGTACTGTTGATCGTTGGGAATTTTGTGCAGGCGCGTCTGGATTACGGCGGCATTCATCAGGTAATTCTACCACTCTAATTCATCTGCTCCCTGCGCAGCTCAAACAAGACACTAATGCGTCTCTTTTGTTGCTCGGCTTTGGTGTTTCTTTTCGAAACTTTGGATTGGAGGCGTCTGCAGGGTTCATGTGTTCTGACAGATGAAACCACTACTGGCCGTCGCTCCTCTAGGCCCTTAGTGTGATGTGGCTTTACTACGGTGTCTTCCTTGGTGCAGGTGCCAATGCAGGTCGGACTCCTCAGGATGAACTGGTTGCGGAAAGTGAGTTCGCCAGTACAAGTAGTTCCATTGCCTGGGCGCCCATGTACCATCGTGAACGCGTCTATGCATGGCATGGCACGGTCGAATACCGGTTTTGTGGAAGATACTCAGACTTGATTCACTTCTACGCTGCCTGGTTACCCTTTAGACGCGTGCGGTTGAAGCGTCATTGTAATCCCTGGCCCTCTCCGACCTCACCGAGACGCACATCAGCGTACAGGCACAAGTGCATGCACATTTGAGCAGGCCGGTTAACTGACAGATAATGAAATGACGCATGCTGTTACGTTTCGTTTTCCCTGCAGTGAAGACTCGTTTATCGTTGAGGTCGGTAGTAGGAGCATCAGGAGAGCAAGCCCATCCTTGTACGTTGTCACCAGAGACCAGCTGCGTTGCTAACGTGTTAGAAAAACCAGTGATCCGAGGCAATTTTCGAAGCCAAAGTCTCTGCACCTAGACCCCCCGTAATAAGGGATTATCTTCTTGCACTTCTAGATATTGCGCTTTTTCTTGGCATTGTGGTTGTATCCGCAGCAAGTGCCGCCGGTTCACAGCCTTCTCCACCAAGTGAGTGATCATAGAGTCACCAATCCGTCGAAGTCTCACTTACGTGCATAGCTCGACATCACTGCGCAAACTAGAGGTTCACGCAGATGCCGTGCTTGTTGCTTTGTGTTCCATCATTTGAGAAGTTTACCAGCCTATTTCTTGACATTACATCATTGCCAAATTCTTTGAGAATATCAATGCCAGTGCAGGTGTGCACCATTCAATTTGTTCCGGGGCTTCTGTAAACAAGCTTGCTAGTTGTTTTCACAGGAACCATTTGCTTTGCTTTCACCGTATATAGCGTGTTTTCCTGACGACTAGTCCCTTGCCTGCTCTGTCTGTGCCACATCCTTATATACTTTCGCTCTCGGTAAACTATTGCGCACAGCAACAACACCTCCAGGTGCGCCGAATACTCCAGAGTGCATTTCCCATTCCACAGTTCCATTCATAAACACCAGGGCACACTACTACTGACTGAGGGGCAGTTCACCTACTATGTAGTCATTCTACTTGACAGAGAGACTCTTCTGCTATCTAGAGTAGCATCATTTCGCAGCTATGGCGAACATTGGCGTTCATTGGTGCATGCAGTGCAGGCATAGATAGATGACTTTCAGAGGCAAATGCCTCTGAAGGCACACACTTCATTTGGGATGAATGCAAGCACAAAAGCTGGTTATTTTGGCGGTAGCTTTTGTGCTTGCATGTGTGCGTTTGTTGTGTGCCTTGTCCTCTCAGTTGCTCCCAAGCCTCCGAAGCATCAAAGACGTAGGTTGCACCTGCGTCGCCTAACGCTTGAGGGTTGCAGCACGCTCCTGATGATGATTACCTTATTGTTGCATGCGTTTGCCGTGTTGGTGTCCGGGATATCATATAGATACCTAGAACTTGTGACACCATCGTTGGGGTGCTGGCGCGCCAATAGATCTCTGTTGCAATGTGCTTCTATGCACTTTTGTCATCGCAGCTCCATCATTCAAGGGCGGAAAGGGTCAACTAGGTGCGTTTCCTGCCCCACGAGTACCTGCATCTCTGGAACAATGGTCCCAAAATGCTGATGCAAGCCGTCATTGGCTGGTCTCTAGATGCAACTCTTTCGCGATATTTGGCGCGTTCCCGGAACTGTGTTTGCGGAACCTTCAGGTGGTTCTGGACCTGCAAGACCTGACGAACCTTCCCCGTAAAAGTTGTTTGGCGTCCACCCAGTTGTAAGCGTTTTCACGTGCACACGGAAGAAGTTCTGTGTTTGAAGCAGTGCGTTGGGTTTACCGATCAGCGGTACCAAAACTTGCGGTTGTCGTTCTCTTGTCTTGAACACAGTTTGCTTGCGAAACAATGAATGAATTCTGCGTCCGGCTGTCTATCTGCTCTTCTATTTTCATTATGCAGGATGGCTGGATGCCGTATGATCCCCTAAGTATCGCGGGCTTTTGGCTGCAGTGACAGCAGACCATAAATTGAACGTGCTTAATGGTTTCGAATGCACTGGGAGTCAAGGACTCGATCGGCATCAAAATACTGGATGGTCCAACCAACACAATTGCCTTCTTTCTATCGATTGTTTTGCTACCCGCGCCTGCGTCAATGCATATATGGACACGGGAGACACCAAATTATTATTTTAAACCCTTTCATTGTCCGTGACGATTTTTGTGCGTCCGGCTCTTTCCAAAACGAGCAAATGGTTTTCAGTCGCCGCTGATGACAATTTTAAGCGTTTTCCACTGGTGTGTCACATCAGAAAAAGTCTATGTGGGTAATCTTTAGGTGCTTCGCCGAGAAGGTTGCTACATGTCGAGCTCGCGTGCAGTAGCATGTTCATGCATTGCCACCTACAAAAGGATGATGCATCATGGCGTGGACTAGGGTGTCTGTGTGCCTGTGCGAGTGTGTGTTATCCGCGGATTCGCCTTATAAAATATCTAATACCTTCTTCACTGTATATAAAGCTCTCGATAGGGACCCTGCGTAGTGCCCCTCAATTCTAAGAGAAGGAAGTGGCCTCTCTGATATGACATTAAGAAACTAGCATAACCGTTAGTTACTCAGTAGAATAAGTATTAAAGAAGAAGATTATAGCGGTACTGTATTAGGATCACTACGGGTGTAAGTAATAGCATTTACAGTCTTGAAATCGGTAGCGGAAGGGGCTTTAGACAGGAGAGCTTACTACGAAGGCAGCTTACCACAGACGCCCCGACTCTCGTCGGGAGCGGATCGCCGCGCAATTGGCATTTTTTCTCGCAAGGCTAAGATTTATTACTCGTTTAAGTCCTTTTATTCTGTGCACCATCTGTAATGAATAGATTCAAGCAGATTATGCCGTCACTGCAACGCCATGAGTGCAACAAACCATCAGGTTCACAGGCCGCTGGAGTCCGCGTGACGCGTTGCTTGAAGCCCTCCGGGCGAACAGTCGATGTGGTGAAATGCAAACTGTAATAAAAGCGGGCAAATCAAGTCTCCTCGTTTTCGTAGGAATTCAGGTTACCAGCGGGTATTTTTGCGAGTAAGGCGGTGTAACTTCACTTTGGCAGGACGATACTGTGTTCAGTGTGGCAGATCGTCGGAAACGCCGGCAGATAGCAACGAAATCTGTGAATATTACTCGAAGTTCCTAAAGCCCAATTGATGAAGGCCAGGTATATTACAGCACAACAATACTAATACGGATGGGTTTATTACCTGAATAGCTCCCGATGAAAAATTGTTGATGTCCATCTATAATAAACAGAACATTAGCTATATATGATATGTACGTACATTGTGAGGTGCAGTGCACAGGGCTACGGTGTTGAGCGGGACGAACTCACCGAGTTGACGTGCTCCAGCATAAATCCATCTATTATGTAATTCTAAGCAAACAACAAGGCAAACCACAGTTTAGAACAGTTCCTGGACACGTAATACAGCGCTGGGCAGACTTGGGGGGGAGATACCTTAGAGGAAAAATGCAGCTTTATGTTTTTAATGTAGTCAGTTAGGGAATCACATATAAGAGCCGTGCTGCGGCTAGCTCACTACATGACGCATCGAAGGCAGAGCGCGCAAAGCATGCCGCAGGATGCTGTAGTTGC